ATACACGCAAGAACAAAATTATTAAAAGTAAATATAAAGATTTGCTATATGTTGCCAGGGAAAAATATAAAAGGTCAGGGAATTTAATTGTTGAAAGTGGCTGGCCACCCTGTATACATAATTTATGTATATATACATATATATATATACATATATATATTATATATATATATATATATATATATATATATATATATATATATATATATATACATATATATATATATATATATATATATATATATATATATATATATATATATATATATATATATGTATATATATATATTATATATATATATATATATACATACATATATATATATATATATATATATATATATATATATATATATATATATATATATATATATATATATATATATATATGTATGTATATATATATATATATATATATATATATATATATATATATATATATATATATATATATATATATATATATATATATATATATATATATATACATTTTTATGTCAGTCTCCATGAAATAATCTGAACATATAACATCAGATTTACTCGGTTTTTAATAATCAATGCATTTATAAGGTTTTTGCATTTTTTATTTATCAAGCAAAATCTGTGTTTTAAGCGTATATAAGTTTAACGCAACTACACATTTATAAATTGGCTTTCCAATATGGCGTCTTTTGGCTTCAAAAATTTTGAAATTTTATTAGGAGATGCGCTCTCCAGTTATTATATAGATCAGTGGTATTTAGCCGCTTCTTTGACTACATCGAACATTTTATATGACAATGTTTTTGTTGTTGGTTTGTTAATGAAAACTTTCTATTTTGATTTTATAATTAAAGTAAATCAGCAGATTAATAACTTAATTTCAATATTAAAAAAGTTAAACAAGCTGAAAATGATCTTGGCGTGATAAACCTTCAGTTTTCTTGAATGCTATTTTAATATGAGTCAGTTATTTGTTTATTTTTTCAAAATCAATTTAGTCAACTTCTAACCGTAGGAATTAAAAATTTTTATTTTCAAATTTAACAACAATGTTTCTTTTATATGTGGTGATATTTTGGTCGTTGCTTCAACTTTTTTTCTGTAAAAAAAAATATACTTCTGCTCATATGCATAAGAAGGAATTAGGCACACTTAATTATATCAGGGAAAAGATCATATATCACTATACCCTGATATAATAGAGTGTGTTTTTTTTTCGTTTTATAATCGTAATATATAGTTAAAAAGAAAAATTAACATTGATATTTAGGGTATAGTTGTAAGAGCAGAAATATACTTTATATCAAAAAAAAGTTGAAGCAAAAACCAAAATCACCATAAATAGAGAAAATATATAAGATAAAGTATTATATATATATATATATATATATATATATATATATATATATATATATATATATATATATATATATATATATATATATATATATATATATATAGATATAGATATGTCCATACTTAACATACTGTTATAATGTATTACTTACTCTATAAAAAGTTACTTACACATGTGTTAGTATGTACTGTAAATTTTTAAAATTGGCAGAGGTGTATTTGATTCACTTGTGATTAAAATGATGATTTGTTTTAGCCTTTTTTTTATTAGAAATTAACTTAGAAATGCTACCCTCCCCTAACCCCGTGAATCAAATATACCTCCGCCATCTTAACTAAATACTACAAAAATAAATTAATGTATATTAGTCACATTAGAATAATGTATATCAGTCATATATATATATATATATATATATATATATATATATATATATATATATATATATATATATATATATATATATATATATATATATATATATATATATATATATATATATTAATGTATATTACATATATATATATATATATATATATATATATATATATATATATATATATATATATATATATATATATATGACTGATATACATTATTCTAATGTGACTAATATACATTAATTTATTGTATTTAGTTAATAATATACATTAATTTATTGTATTTATTATGTAGTATTTAGTTAAGATGGCGGAGGTATATTTGATTCACGGGGTTAGGGGAGGGTAGCATTTCTAAGTTAATTTCTAATAAAAAAAAGGCTAAAACAAATCATCATTTTATATATATATATATATATATATATATATATATATATATATATATATATATATATATATATATATATATATATACATATATATATATATATATATATATATATATATATATATATATATATATATATATATATATATTATATATATATATATATATATATTAGTCACATTAGAATAATGTATATTAGTCAATAATAATGTATATATATATATATATATATATATATATATATATATATATATATATATATATATATATATATATATGCAGATGTTTATTTATTTATAATAAATATTATTTTATTTAGATAGCTCTATTATAATTTTCATTGTATATACCTGTGGTTAAGTATCAATAGATTCAAAAAATAATCGACTTATAATGTTGATTGATTTTTGATTCCTTGACACATAAATTTGAAAACTTGGTACAAAGATTCTGAAAAATAAAGAAATCAATTAAGTTTATGATGCCATCAACAATTTTTGACTACAAAGCTCAATAGTCTACAAAGAAAAATAGCTTTACGTTCTTGGTAAGTAATTTTTTAAAATTACCTTAATTTTGGAATATTGTTATTGTAAACAAAAAAAAAATTGTCCACTGATTGGACAATTGTTTTTTTGTTTGCAATTATAATATTCTGTTAGTTTTTTATTTTGGAGTTCTTTTATGTTTAACAAAGCATTATTTTGACCTTTTATAATTCTTTCCATATTTTTTGTGCAACTGTAACTTTAATTCTATTTTGAGTTAAAATTTTATGTAATTTTTTAGAGGGTGGGAAACTCTTGTCAAACAATCTTAAAAACACATTTCCTATGTTAGTGGAAACATTTTTGTTATATGAGGGGGATGAACCAAACTACATTTCTAGTTTTCTTTTTCAAAATTTCGGAAAACCACTTTTTTTATAAGAATTTTAAAAAATTGGTTTAGAGGAATTAAGTACGTTTTCATTAGAGGAGTTTTGATTTAGCCGGTTATTAATTGAAATTTGGATTTTTTTTTAGAATTTAGGGTGAATGGTTTTAATTAATATTAATATACAGTATACTGCATATATTTTAGATAAAACAATTGAATTTGCTAAAAGCCACACAGTTATTCCGGAAGAGACATTCTGTATCATAAACATTGCAGAAAAGCCTTACTTTATTTTAATAAGGAAACTTAAAAAATAAGGAAAAAGAAAAACATACATGACTGCCGATACATGACTGCCGTGATGTAACAACCCAGCAAATATTTGGTCTAAAAAAAGGCGTTTTCAATATGCCTAAAAGAAGTCTTTTTCAGGCCAAATATTAGCTGGGAATGGGCACTTATCATGGAGCAGATATTTATAAATTTGTTGGATACTATATTTTAGATTTATTAAGTAAAATAATCCATATTAATGATTTAATTATTTTTTTCACAACTCCGCAACACTGTGGCAATGCATAAAAAATCTGGTCCACAGCTTGATAAAATTAGAAAAGATACCATAAAAATTTTTAATATTGGCTTTAATGTGAAATTTCTAATATCACATCTAACCTCTCTGAAAATTCATATGGGCCTATTAAAAAACTAAACGATAAATTATTGTCTATTAGTATTAACTCAAACGATGAATTATTGTATATTATTATTAACTTATAAATAATAAGAATAAGCATTATTGTGACCTTTTATAAAGAATTATAAAAGGTCACAATAATGCTTTGTTAATCATAAGAGAAATCCTAAATGAAAAAAAGACAGAAAACTCTAATTTAAAACAAAAAAAACAATTGTCAGATGAGTGGAAATTGTTTATCAAAAAACATGGTATATAAATGTGTTGTTTCCTCTAAGAATGTACCTGATAAGCAATATATTAGCTCAACAGAGAGTGAATGAAAAAAATGTTTTGCCAATTGTAAGCGATCCATTAAAAATAAAAAGTATTCAAAAGACACCAAAATGTCAAAATACATATGTAAATTAAATGATAAAAATATTGATGATGGCGGAGGTGTATTTGATTCACGGGGTTAGGGGAGGGGAGCATTTCTTAGTTAATTTCTATTAAAAAACGGCTAAAATAAATCATCATTTTAATCACACGTGAATCAAATACACCTCCGCCAAAAAATTTGTTTAAACATTAAATACATACGTGCAATCTTGAAAGTATTTTTCTGGTAAATGTTTTAACTTTTTTTTGATGCAAAATTATATTTTGACTCAAACAAAAATTTTTTATATATAAAAATATGTGAGTTATCACTATACACTAGTTTTATATGTTCTGATATAATAAAATGCATGTGATTGTTATTATTACATGTATATAATATTAAATATGATATATTATTATTATAATTACATACACTTTATTATATTAGGACATATAAAGTTAGCAGGCAGTTATAACTCAATTATATATATATATATATATATATATATATATATATATATATATATATATATATATATATATATATATATATATATATATATATATATATATATATATATATATATATATATATATATATATATATATATATATATATATATATATATATGGGCGATGGGCGGAGGTGTATTTGATTCACGTGTAATTAAAACGATGATTTATTTTAGCTGTTTTTTAATAGAAAATAACTAAGAAATGCTACCCTCCCCTAACCCCGTGAATCAAATACACCTTCGCCATTTAAGTATTTATATACTGAACTATGTAAAAAATAAGCCTACAACATCAATTTATGAGAAATAAAGAACAAAAGTACGGTTGTTATATAAAATGTTCTCTGTAGTTAAGAACCGCAGCCATTTTAAAAGTTCAAAATTTGTAATTATTTTCTAACGCATGCGCTGTGAGAAGTAGTCGAGTTAAAAAGATAGC